TGGAGTATCCTTGATGGGCGTAGATAATTGGTCGAGGACATATCAAAATAAAACAAATTTGTAAACACTGTTACACATTTTAATGAATAGAGTAGGTACAAGATGTTTTAATAAATGACTACCTATCATTTATTAAAACAATTATTCAGACTCTGAACCAGATTCGCCAGAGCTGTCATCGCTATCAGTCACTTGTATGAAAATTTCATTCTCTATAATGGTGTCCACTCTTATGTCGCGTTCATAATCTTCTGTTATTAGTTTTCGAGTCTTTTCGACGACCTTGACCCAATCTTCTTTCGTTATTTTGCTGCAAGCATCTTTTAATAGACCCATCATTTTATTAGTACTGAATGGCGGAGTCGTATTATTACGAGTTGCGTAACCTGTAATGTAAACATTAAATAACGTTAATTTATTACATTAAATAAACGAAATGTTACACAATTACCTACATGTAAGGGACATGAGATATTTATTTCTTAGTTATGTATCTTTCTACTTATATGCTGAATATTGGATGTTATAATAGTACAAATTATTCATATTCACAACTTATGCGATAAAAAACAATACCTTTGATTTATGCCCATATTAGCTCAATGGCATTGTACTGGCAGTGATAAGGCGGAATTCGAAGTACCCGATGTCCATGTGCTAGAGCTATCTCATCTACTTCATAACGGACTCTTGATGTTTTATTTTCGCGTACCAACTTTACTAAGTCAGACTTTAGCATTTCGGCAGTAGTTTCAATTCCATTTTGGTGTAGCCATGCTACGAGATCAGCTTTCTTGTCGGCCTGAGTAGGCGCTTTATTCACTTGTTTCGAGTGATATGAAGCGTTGTCCATTATTATGATAGAAGGCTCTGGCAGGCTGGGTAATAATTGATTTTCGAACCAATTCGTAAAAGTGTCTGTATCCATCTCCTCGTGGTAATCGGAAGTACTTTTTGACGCGAAAGCCAGCAGTCCATTTTCAAAGAAACCACTTCCAGCAGAACCGGCGTGACAAATTATCAGTGGCGATCCTTTTCCAATTGGAACCTTTGAGGTTGATGCTTTTGTTTCGTCAGTCCAAGAGCGTGACACAGTGTGGTTCGCATTTAACCATGTTTCGTCAAGAAAAACGACGTTGTCCCAAGACTCGATTTTTCTGGCTTCTCTTAAAAACTCGCTCCTTTTAATTATTAAATCAAATCTTTCCATTAATATTTTCCTTTTATTCCTTTTTTTTAAATTCAAACCCAATTTCGTGCAATAGTTCTGACAACGCCGTTTTACCGCCTTTAAACAAGCCAGCTTCTTTTAAAGACACCAAAAGCAAACGTCTAGTTGGAAACTCGTTCCTAGTATAATAACCATATATGTGGTTTCTTATTGCATCTGCATCAAAAACATCAACACCTGTCACGCGCTTTTGTCTTCGGTTTTTCTTAGGAGTGCGTAAAACATTATGTTCACTTCCAGAAGCACCAAATTTTTCTTTATTTATATTATATAGTGTTTTGCACCAATTCCAAGAGCTTGTGAAACCCGATCTTTCACTTGAGTGACAGGAATCAAAGGGCCGCCATTTTGTGACTCACGCTCAAAGTAATCCTGTAGCTTTAGTACAAGCTCACGACATTGACTATTCAATGTTTTTCCTCGTTTCGGCATTTTCAACAAAATTACCAAACACAAACAAAATTAGTCCAATAAAGCGCAACGATAAACAGGAGAAAGCCGAGTCAAAAAACAACGGTTACACATGAGAACGTAGTCTGTGCGCACGAGAGTACGGAAGACGACTAAACAGATTAAAATAGCGGTGGTAAGGGTGTTGCCAGAATAGTATCGCCAATTACTTAAAAAAACACACCTATAACATTGCTTAATTGAGGGAGAAAATTATATTTATTAAATGTTGTTTTATATATTATGAATGTTAAAAATTATACATAATCGTTTTAATTGTATTTATTTTTAAATCATAGAAAACAGTATTTCTGTCTTTGGATCACACATAAATCTTAAAAATCATAGAGATACTGGCAACACAGTGCAATTAGGCGACGCAAAAAAATGGTAGCATTATAGTCTAGTTGCTCGAAGGAATAAGTAAAATAAAAATATCCAAATAAAATAAATATCATATCTATTCCAATGAATTCGGACCGAATACTATCAAGCACATCACTATGAAAACTAGACGCACGATGTAACTTTGTACAAGCGCGCCAAAGAACAAAAAATAAATGTTTTCATATTATTTACAAACTATTTTAAGTTTTGAAACAGAGTTTATTGGAAAATTACTTGATTCTGACATTTTGACATAAAGTTTTATATTAAAGAGGTATTCTAAATCATTCGGCAAATGTGTCGCTCGTGCAAGGTTATATCGATTAATTTAAGAATAATCTGTCAAATCGGTAATAACTCAGCGGCCGTACTATAGCTAGCGTCAAAGTTTACACTAGCGTAGCGGTTAGTGTTGAAATAATAAAACCAATTATGAACAAAACATCTATATTCAAAATATTAATGAGACGCTTTTCTTGTCTCTAATTGTTGCCATGTAATTTGTGCACCACCTAAAAACACAGGCAGGCATTTTTGCCACGAATAACTAGAAAATTCACGCACTGTAGCGTAGGTATAGCCGCGACGCGAGAGCGTGCCCGACTGAATGTGAGTCGGGCAATTACCTGACTTTCGTATTGCCATTTTAGAGTGATTATGACGTATCTAAGGCCGGCCACATACATATGGAATTCCGTTTCGGGATTCCGTTTCGATATTCCGCTTCGAAATTCTGAACGCAGCAAGTTCATATAAAATATATGACCCGTCACATACGTACGGTAGTTTTCCGTTCGAAATTTTGCGGGCAAAACGGGATTCCGTAAGTGTGTGGCCGACCCGTTCGGAATTCCGAAACGGAATCCCGAAACGGAATTCCTTATGTATGTGGCCGGTTTTAAAAACGATAATAATCACGGGATGATAGGAGGTGGTTCATTCTCTCGCGGCAGCCGCAATATGGCGTATTTAAATTCCTTTTTCCTTAAAAATGTCACGAGGTCTAGTTACCCGCAGACCATCGATTAGTCCGTTTCATTGTCGATGATTCCCTTCACCTCCGAGCATGTGGTAAATCAATATAAAAATTTAATAAAAAAATAAAATATTTTTTTAACTCTAAGACATGCATGCAGGCTTCCTCACGATGTTTTCCTTCACCTCCGAGCACGTGGTAAATCAGCACTTAAAATTGCAATTGACAATTTTATTAGATAGTGTCGGCGGGGATCGAACTCTTATTGCTCGCGTACTGTGAAATTCACAGCGAGCGCTAAGCGCTTAAGCTACCATAGCTCGTAGCCTATAATTATGCATCTCTTCACTTTTTAACCGATTTCAAAAACGAAGAGGTTATCAATTCGATTGTTGTATGTGTGTTCTTTTTTTGAATGTATGTTACGCGATATCTTCGCAGATAGTAAACCGATTTTAATGATATTTTCTGCCGACTTCCAAAAAAAAAGACGATACTCAATTCGACTGTATGTTGTTTTTTATGTATTATGTTACCTCGTAACTTTTTACTGGGTGAACCGATTTCGATGATTCTTTTATTATCTCGATGATTCTTTTATATTTTCGATGATCTTATATTTTATTTGAAAGCTGGTACTTCTCGTGTGGTCCCGTATATATTCAATTTATATTGAAGTCGGCTGTACAAAATTTTAATTTCAAATTATTAATTGATTTTACCTCAAGGGTGGTCCCATTAAAATTTGAAGAAAAACTTTCGCACCCAATCGTGGAAAGTAGTTGTTTAAGGAATTCCATATCATCATCGCAAATTGCGAACCGATTTTAATTATTTTTATCTATTAAATAGGTTATTACTTCACGGCTCATCCCATATAAATTTGGAGAAAAAATCCCACCCTTAAAACTTAAAAATAAAAACTTCTTTTTAGCAATTTGAAGTCGGGTTTTACTTTTTGATAAAGTTATAACTATACCGAAACCCAGCAGTGCATGCACTTGCTTTGCGCCAGAAATACGTAAGAGAGGGTATGACCTACCCAGACATACTTCTAGGCATCGATGTATATGTACTACGCACTAGATTTCGCATTCCGAACATTGACTATGTTCAACTGAACTGTACTGCAATCCGTACACTAAACTAAATATTGCGTAAATTGAAGATCTGTGAATTCCATAAGATAATTATTATTACATTTTATTTAGAAATATGTTTGTTTAGATTAAATTAAGATATTTTATATTAAATTCTTATATTTATTTTATATTAATATCTTATTTTATATTAAATTAAAGTATCCGCGCATACGCGACTCTACTATCTCATGCGGGAAGACATAGAGTGGCGCACAATTTTTGTTTGGAATAGCTTCTCTAGTACGTAGTACATATACCTCTATGCTTCTAGGCAAAAAAAGAGTACTACCAAAGGTGGTATTAGGATGTTTTCCTTTATCGCCGAGCATATGGCATACAAGGCCGTGGTAGCTCAGGTTTAGCACCAGCCGTATCTAAGCTTCATAGTACGCGAGCAGCCCGATTACGATTCCCACCGGCACTCGTGATATTGTTAATTGTAGTTTTATGTGTTGATTTATTCATTCATTCATAACAGCCCTTAACAAGTCCACTGCTGAACATAGGCCTCCCCGAAGGTATGCCACAAAGCACGGTCCTGAGCCATCTGCATCCATCTACTTCCTGCATGTCTTACCAGGTCGTCACTACATTTAATGAGGGGCCGCTCTACACTTCGCCTTCCGGTACGAGGTTGCCACTCGAGAATCTTTCTTTCCCATCGGTTGTCGGTTCTTCGAGTTGGCGGGTCATTGCCACTTCAGCTTACTAATCCGTTGGGTTATGTCGGTCACTCTGGTTCTTATGCGGATAGCGTCATATGCGGATTTATTCACAATGTAAAATAATTGAACTGATTATGTATCTTCACTAGTGTTCCCATCGGCGATGGCATCAGACCAGGAGTCGACGGACGAGGAGCCAGATAGTGAAATGCTGAGTGATGACTTGTGTCTCCAAGACAGCGATGACGACCGACTGCCAGCCAGAAGTGTTCTGGTAAGCTGTTCAAATGAAGCTAGTAAAATAGTGCCGTGTTTAATGACGACGTAAGACAATCCGTCAAACCATTTCGTCCCGTGGGTTTTGTAAAAGATAAAAATGGGAATTGCCAAAGTAATATGGCTTCTTGTAGAAGATATGGCGTTGTCGATGGATGCAGGTGACTCAGGACCATACTTTGTGGCAATCTATGTGGGAGGCCTATGTTCAGCAGTGGACTTGGGCTGTAATCATGATGATGATGATAAAATATTTTTACAAAAACAATCTCAATATAAAAAGAGAACCTGAATGTGGAACATTCATTTCATTCTGAATGTAGCACGAATGGGTTGGCTCACAGGGAACAGGAAGTAGGAACTAAAGTATAGTTCCTACCCAGTTCACACACAATATGAGCGTAAAAAATAGTAACATGATATGTTCCATATGGTAAAGAACGAAAATCTGAGAGCCTTTACGCTTGGAACGAGGCATTTCATACTAGACCACAAAGGTATCAACACATCTGCATTTCGTTTCTAAATCGAGGATAGACTGTGGCCCGCAGACACCTAGTCTGCGGGCCACAGCATTCACTTACCATCGGGGTAGCTGCGTACTTGTTTCTCACCCTTATTTGTAAAAAGTTTGCTTCACTATAAACAATTTCTTCCAACAGAATCACTCGGAAGACATTCCACCTTTGAACTCCTGTTTACTTCGACCACCTCGTAAGCTGTTCACCAATTGCCGTGAGCGCTGGAGGCAGCAGAACGTCAGCGGAGCATTCGCAGAACTAAGGAGACTCGTGCCAACGCATCCACCTGATAAAAAGTTGTCCAAAAATGAGATCTTGAGGATGGCTATCAGGTTATGAGTTGTTTACTCAAAATAGTCACAGATGATACAAATAAATGAATATAATAATTTCTTATATTTATCCACGAGAACACTACACATTGAATGAAACTAATCTTAACTGATTTTATTAACTTATTTTATATTATATAACCGACTTTTTGAGTATTTTATATATAGCATCCATGGTCACGGAGGGACTGAGGTTTTCGACGTTTCAATGTTATAGTTAACCACAGCTAGGTATATTTTTATAAAACAGTGCTCTAAAGTACACAAAATGTCGTAAATAGAAAATAGTTTAAATTTGATGAAAAAATAAACCGATTACACAAAAAATCGATTTAGGCTCTATGGTACGTTTGACCTTTGTCTGTCAAGGGCTAAAGAAGAAAATGAAAGCGCCTTGAAATTTTTAATAGCAATAAAATGTATAAAATTTGAAAATCATTTTATTAAGAAACGACCCGTACTAGGCTATTGATATGAAATAGGGAACCACTTTACGTAATTCTGAAGCTATAAAAAAACTCCGTTCTCGATATATCAATTTTTTCGGGAGTTATCGCGAGACGTGACCATATACAAAATCAACATCCGGTAGTCCAAGTTAAAATTTTAAAATCGTTTTTTTATCAAAGTAGCAACATAAAATGATTTTTCAGAAAACATAAGATGGATTATAAGATGGAGTGTCATTATTAAGTATTAAGTGCCGTGTAGTGGCGGTTAAGAATATCCACTACCCCATATCTTCCCGTGGGTGTCGTAAAAGGCGACAAAGGGAAACAGGCAGGAGATAGGCAGCAGCATCTTCCTGGTAACGGCAAAAATACAATAAAAAACAGCGGTTGCCAACCGGCTCGCCAAGCGTGGCAACTATAGCAATATACCCCCCATGATGAAAGTTACGAAGAGACGGCCCCCAGTACCCGGCGGCCCCGCTATTCCTGGCTACGGTGGCGATCATGGTAACGGCGGGGCAGGGGGTGCTAAGAATCTCCGGTGGAGGTTCGGTTGCCACCTACGACGACTCGACCTGGCAACATATAACGCACGCACCCTGAGGACTGACGAGAAGATTGTGGAGCTGGAAGAAGAGATAGACAAGTTACGCTGGCATATTATAGGATTATCCGAAGTCCGAAGAGAGGGGGAGGACACGGTAATCCTCGAATCCGACAACTTGCTCTATTACCGGGAGGGCGACCATCTGTCCCAAGGAGGTGTCGGATTTATCGTCCACAAGTCTCTCGTTAACAACGTTGTAAAGATTGAGAGTGTGTCGACGAGAGTTGCGTACCTTATACTCAGAATCACCAAACGGTATTCGCTGAAGGTCATACAGGTTTACGCACCAACCTCGGCACACCCCGATCAGGAGGTGGAGGAAATGTATGAGGGTATCTCTAGAGCCATGCATTCCTCCAAAACCCAATATATGGTGTTAATGGGAGACTTCAATGCAAAACTAGGCACAAGAGAGAACGGTGAGCTGAAAGTGGGGAAATTTGGAATAGGGCAATGGAATCCAAGGGGCCAGCAGCTGGCCGACTTCATGGAGAAAGAGGGACTCTTTATGATGAACTCTTTCTTCAAGAAGCGGCCCCACAGGAAGTGGACCTTCCCGAGCCTCGACGGTTCGACAAAAATGAGATTGACTTCATTATGACGACCAAACGACAACTGTTCAGTGATGTCTCAGTGATCGCGAGTGTGAAATCCGGCAGCGATCACCGAATGGTTAGAGGCACACTGAACGTAAACGTTAAGTTGGAGAGGTCTCGTCTAATGAAGTCAACGCTCCGTCCCCCTCGTGCTCTAATCCAAAGTCCCAAACCTGAAAGCTCGAGTTACAAAACCGTTTTCAGTGCCTAGAAGACTGCAATGAAGTGGACGATTTGAATGACAAGCTCGTGGAAACTGTCCATGCGGTCGGAGCTAAGTTCTGCAAGACCCGCCGCAGAAGAACACAAAAACTCTCCGATCACGCTCTTAATCTCATGGCTGTTAGACGGGAAATGAAGCTATATTCTTCAACAGATTTGACAGCATACAGGCAACTGAACAGACAGATCACCAAATGCATGCGGCGGGACTTACGCAACTTCAATACAGCTCGTATTGAAGAAGCGATCGAGCGGAACCAAGGTTCCAAAGTCTTTGCCAGAGATCTGTCTGCCAGAAAGAGCCAACTGTCAAAGCTGAAGACCGAATGTGGCAGCATCGTTTCCGGGGCACCTGAGATTTTGAGTGAGATTGAGAGGTTCTATGGGCAGCTGTACACGTCATCGTTGGAGCCGCACGCAAGTGTGAGTAACGATCCAAGAGCGAGTCTTATCCGACATTATTCCGATGATATCCCGGACGTCAGTCTGAGCGAGATTAGAATGGCTCTCCAGCACCTTAAAAACGGCAAGGCCCCAGGCGAGGATGGAATTACAGCGGAGCTTCTGAAAGCGGGTGGAAAACCGGTACTTGAAGTCCTTCAGAAGCTCTTTAATTCCCTCCTCCATGGTGGCATTACACCGGAGGCGTGGAGCAGAAGTGCGGTGGTCTTGTTCTTCAAGAAAGGCGACAACGCTCTCTTGAAGAACTACAGACCGATTTCACTTCTGAGCCGCGTCTACGTGCTGTTTTCGAGAGTTATTACGAATCGTCTCGCGCGCAGACTTGACGACTTCCAGCCTTCCGAACAAGCCGGTTTCCGAAAAGGCTTTAGCACCGTAGACCACATACATACCCTTCGGCAAATTGTACAAAAGTCAGAGGAGTACAATTTGCCACTATGTCTGGCGTATGTGGACTATGAGAAAGCCTTTGATTCCGTCGAAATTTGGGCGGTGCTGCAGTCCCTTCAGCGATGCCAAGTTGACTGTCGGTATATCGAAGTGTTGAAGTGCTTGTACAGTAGGGCTACGATGGCTATCCGAGTACAGAACTAGAGTACGAAACCTATCCAATTGCAGAGAGGTGTAAGACAGGGTGACGTCATATCCCCGAAACTCTTTACCGCTGCATTGGAAGATGTTTTCAAGCTTCTGGACTGGAAAGGATACAGTATCAACATCAATGGTGAGTATATCACTCACCTTCGATTTGCTGACGATATAGTCCTTATGGCAGAATTGCTGGAGGACCTAAGCACTATGCTCAATGATCTCAATAGTGTTTCCCAACGGATAGGTCTTAAGATGAACATGGACAAAACAAAGATCATGTTTAATGTCCATGTCACACCTATGCTGGTAGTTGTTGGGAACACTAAGCTCGAAGTTGTTGACGAGTATGTTTACCTGGGACAAATAGTCCGACTAGGTAAGTCCAACTTCGACCGAGAGGTCAATCGACGGATTCAAGTCGGTTGGGCAGCTTTCGGGAAATTACGGCACATCTTCTCGTCAGGTATACCTCAAAACTTGAAAACGAGACTGTACACCCAGTGCGTGTTGCCAGTGATGACATACGGAACTGAGACGTGGTCCTTCACTGCTGGCCGGATGAGGAAGCTCAAGGTCGCTCAGCGAGCTATGGAGAGGGCTATGCTCGGAGTTTCTTTGCGTGAGAAACTCAGAAATGAGGATATCCGCAGTAGAACCAGAGTGACCGACATAGCCCAACGGATTAGTAAGCTGAAGTGGCAATGGGCCGGCCATATAGCTCGAAGAACCGACAACCCATGGGGAAGAAAGTTTCTCGAGTGGCAGCCTCTTACCGGCAGGCGAAGTGTAGGGCGTCCCCCCACTAGATGGAGTGATGACCTGGTAAGATATGCAGGTGGCTCAGGACCGTGCTTTGTGGTATTCTTTGTGGGAGGCCTATGTTCAGGATTTGTGAAGGGCTGTAATGAATGAATGAATTGATATACGGCTACTCATATTGTCGTTTAAGTGCAATATGGTTATGATAAAAATATTTTAAGGCCACAAAATTGCTTGACCTTGACGTGTCGAGAGTAATAAACTACCTAATAACGCTTTGCGTCCAATAACTTAATAAAACGCGATAAAACCCGTAAAAACTAGTTTCATTCAGTTAATGAACATTAGCTAATACTCATAAATACTCTTGTATATGTATTATTTCACCTGATATAGAAAATGCCATCTCTTTTATTTAATTAAGTCACTCGCATACCAAATGATTCTATAAACATTTCTATCAGGTATAGCTACTGCCATTTTATGTTATATTCATGATGCAGACACTAAATTGAGAACCCATTTACCTCAATATGCTTCAACTTTTATAATTTTATAGAAATTTTGTTTCATTTCATAACTAGACTAAGAAATAATTCTAATATATTTCTACTTTTAAACTATCTTTGTAGATACATTGGTCTCCTCTGCGAAGTATTGGAATGGCAGAAGAACCACGGTCTTCTCACGAATAAAGAAAACTCCAATCTTGCTGTGAAATGTGAATCTCCAATCAGTCCGCAGTCGAGACACCTCCGTCTCAAAAGACCGTTCTTTGACGAAGATGCCAAAAGACCGAAATTGATTGACGGAGATAGCGCTAAATATGGCAACGACGAGAACGAAGAAAACTTACGTAGACATCGGAACGCGAGTTTCAATAAAGACTATTATTTCGGGAAAGACCATCTGAAAGTCTTGAGGACTCAGTATTACTTTCCTTCAAGATGGAGGCAGAATGTACCCTTCAGAAATTTGGCTGCAGAACGAAATGGTAATAATCTATTAATGATCGCACCAGCTCAGGCTAAAGATGATGACGCTAAGAATGGTAACAGTAGAAATAAAGATAAGAGTGACTTTAAGGATAAGTAGATTTAGAAAAGTAAGTTAAAAATGTAACACTTAACTTACGAAATGATCTCTGTAAAATAAGATGTAGAAATTAAAGTTGTAAAAAAGAAAATTTGCGAAGATCCGCATAATGAAATAAAATGACGTATCTTCCCTAGTTTGAAAAGCACCTGCCACACTCCTACCACTAATCCCAGCACCACTACGGTCAGCGACCGCTTAGCGGTCATCCACCGCAGAGTCTACTTGACCTGAGGATACCTCGTGTAGAGGCGACACACGTGTCGTATTATCGACGGTGTGCCTTTCCTAGTGTAGTGGTGTTGAGAGTAGTGGTGCTGGGATTAGTGGTAACGGGGATAGTACACACAATTAAGGAGGTCCTCCTCAAACTATATAAGACACATCATTTCACTTTATTACGCGCATCTAATGGATAATCTAATGGATTTCCTCAAAGTAACGCCTAATTCTATTAATTAGATGTAGAAACTAGGGGAAATTAATACGATTTTTAATATGTATACAATATTTATTCCAAAAAAAAAACTTATAACTAAGTATATGCTCTAAGCTAAAATAATTCTTCAAAAATTATTATTCCCCGCGGTATAATGCCAAAAACTCTGGCAGCCTTTTCTTGCTGAATGATTATATTTAGTTTTTTGGTGGCAAACGAATTAGCCATCTTATCTTCAGCGGATACGATGTTACCATATATGGTACGGCATTATTAAATTAGTTGAATCGAATAAAGAATATATGTTAAGAATTTGTGATTACAGAATTATCTGTGAAAATTTAAGACTAGCTACCACCAGTGACATAGTATAAGTTTCTGCCGCCCGGAGTCGCTTTAGCTGCAAATTGTATTATCATGATAATAATGCTGATGATTTTTTTATAGGATAGGATGACAAACGAGCACACGGTGCACCTGATGGTAAGTGGTTCCTGTGACATCTACATCTATCTTCAATAAAGAATCAAAAAGCAGATGCGTTGTCCTCCGTGAGGACTAAGATAGCATGCCTCTTTTCCAGTAAAACGGGTATCCGATTCCCTACACTCACCTTACGAAACACAGCAGTGTTAAGCTATTATTTTACGCTAGTATTCTGTGAGAGCGTGGTTCTTCCCCGGTCAAGCCGACCCATTCGTGCCACAACTATACTACTATTCTAGCTGCGTATAAATATGAGATGGTTACTGTTATGTGTCCACCTTTTCGTGGTTAACTTACCACGCATTCGAACCAAACGGTTTGATAAATCTTTTGTCATGCGTACAGCAAAGGATTGGAATAAGTTGCCAGCATCCGTCTTCCCTTCCGATTACAACGTGGGCGTCTTCAAGGCACGAGTGAATAGGCTTCTGTTAAGTCAGTGCGTTTTATCAGTTTCGATGTCATCACCACGTACCATCGGATGTGATAGCTTGTAATAGTAAAAGAGAGATGGTTCTTTTTTTTTTATAGGAGCTTTTTTTAATGGCGCTGGTGTTTACATCTCGGCACGTTGATGCGTCAGCCCAGACCTGGTAGCACTCCTGCTTGTAGAGCGATGCTAGTTTACAGGAGCGACTAAACCATGACTGAGATCTGCCTCCGATAGACACCACAGAGGAAGGAATAAAAAGTTCCATAGCCTGAAGTACCATCAGCAACAGAATTAGCAACAACGTTGGGATCGTTCGGCGAGCAGCAAACCCACCCCCAAGGGTAGGATGCAAAGAAAGACCGCATCCCATCCCAATCGGCTGATCTATAGTGCCTGCAGAAAGCAAGCGCGATTTCAGCGTGAGTGGCACCACACTTCTGACTAGACAATGGTCCGAGGAGCTAAGAGGTGCATTGATGGAGACCTCATATCTGTCCGGATGAGAGGTCAGCAGAAGGTCCAATAGGGAAGGTGCATGATCCTCCACATATGGAATCCACGTGGGCGTAGTAACCAGTTGTGTCAGACCATATGTCAAGGCAAAATTATGAACAGATCTCCCTCAAGATCGGATAAACTTGAACCGAGCCATTCGGCGTGGTGGGCGTTAAAACAAGGATCACGATCTCTGCGGATGGGATCTGCTGTAGCAAGGACTCTGTAGCCATTTGGAAGTGGTCGATGAGTCGGTCTGTTTCGGCATTACCGCTATGGGACTTATAGAGACAACCGTAGACGCGCGGATGTTCGTCGCTGTCTACAAGTAGCCAAAGGATGGACAGGTCCGAACCTTCAAGACTGCCGAGGCGTCGAAAACAGATGTCCTCTCTGATGTATACACAAACTCCAGCCCGAGGCACAAAGGAGTATTCCAATTTGTACCCCGGGTAGGAGAGATACGAAGTATCAGCCGGAGAGAACACCTGCGTCTCAGTCAGAAAGAGTAAGGCCGGCTTCGCCGTCTCGAGATGGTAGTGGACGGCGTTTAGGTTCGAGTGAAGTCCCCTGATGTTGCAGAAATTTCAAAAAAATTCAAGTCAATTCAAGAAAAAAATTCACGGATAGCGTGGCAGGGGTCGCCTTGGTCTTACTGCTCAGTTTGCCCCGAGCAGTTATTATATATGGGGCAGCACGAGTACCTACGCTCAGGAGTGGAGTAGCTTGGTCGTGGATGCTCCGCGAGGGATTCTCCAGGGGTGCTGGTACCCTCCTGGAGTAATCTTTCATTTAATTCCACTACTATGTTAATGGGGGGGGGGGGGAATTGCACCTGCCGCGTGGCTCTTCTACCGTTAAACTGTAACACAACACTGACGTTATAAAATGGGTTGACGGTATGGACTTTATCGCCAACACACGGCTAATTACCAAATGATTTTTTTTATAAACTTCATCGTCGTCATCATCATTACAGCCCTTCACAAGCCCACGACTGTACCATCCATCAATTTCCATCATCCAGGTAGCCGTTACACGCTATTAAAATTCCTCTGTTAAACATAAGCCTCTCTCATCATTTGCCTCATAGTGAGGAGATTTGTTATAGTTTCCACGCTTGGCAGGCTTTATTTTTAGTTACTAGGATATCTCCATCTCCTTTCTCTTTTCCCTCTGTCGCCTCTTACGACACCCACGGGACGATATGGGGTAGTGGATATTCTGACACCGCTACTTACGAAAATAATTACTTAAAATTAACAAATTGTTATTTGTGCCTGGTCATGATCATATCTTAAATGTTTTGTAATATTCCTTGTTGCCAAAGTATGTATATATTTAAATTAATCACTAATTATAATAAAAATGACCACACAAACCTAAATTTTTGTTATAACCATCGATCTCTAATAAAAAACTAGATACACAATTCCAAAAGGACTAAAAACTGTCGTCAATTGTTTTGACGTAATTCTAGTTGAAATAAATATACATTAATGTAAATTCAACCTTAGATGCATTGTCTAAAGTTGTATTCACAGAGCTACGTACAAATCAAAAGCGCACCCAAATGTTCCAGTAGGCGCTCATTCGGTAAGGACATTTTTTTGTCACTGGTTGCGTATCTAGTTTTTTATTAGTGATCGATGACTATAACATATATTTAGATTTCTATGGAAGTGACATTAGTTAAAACTGTAACCTGTAAAAATTAATAGTTGAAAAATAAAATCGTTTATAAGTACTTCAAGTATTATTTCTATTTTTATCTCTTTTGCAGCAATAGAGAACCTATCATCGAATAAGACATGAATACCATTCTTAAAAAAAAATTGTCTGCCTGTCTGTTTTTTGGGTTAATCTTTGGAATGGCTGAACCGATTGTAAAATTTGACGAACATAAAGAAAGCAACGCCAGGAGTGATCGCGGCTATATTTCATCCGAAAAATTTAGAATTTTTTTTTTGGTAAATCGAAACTTTATTAGAATATATTGTCTTTGATCATAAAATGTACTTTTTAATATTACAAATATTATTTCTCACGAAGATATGCAAAAAGGAGCTCTCTCATTACAATAGTATCTCCATGTTTGCTACTGGTTTCATATTTTTACTTAACGGTAAGAAATTACTTTACTTATCTTCACGCACAATCCCTGACGGGGTAGCCAGAGAGAACAGATCGCCAAGTGTCACGATCCTTACATACTTTCGCTTCTTTCAGATTCATTATCTTCTTCATACATGCACGTCTAGAAAGTCGTAAGAAATTGTTTTTAATATACTTTTACTAGTAACAAATAGTTTCTCTCTCACAATTTACGACTTGGCATAAAGACGGCAATTTATAGCAATTCATACGTGTAAGAGCGAAGCTGCAGTTATATTGATGGAAGCACGAATGTGGTCGGCTCGACCGGGGCAGGACCACGCTCCCACAAAATACCAACATAAAATAGTAACTTAATGTTGCTGTATTTCGTATGGTGAGTGTAGAACGAAGACCTTTTTTACTGGAAACGAGGCATTCCATCTTGGTCTTCAGGGGTGACATCATGTATGCATTTTGATTCTTATAAGTGTAGATGTCTATGAGCTACTGCATCCTCTAAACATCAGATGGACTGTGTGCTCGTTTGTCACCCTTTTTATAAAAAAAAAATAAGGCAACGCTTTCCAAAATACAAAATTAATTCATTATTAAAAAGCACTTTGACAGATAAGCTTTATAATCCGTGGCGCAGCGTTCGCCACGCGACTCGACGCGTTTTAATCCCGCTGTGTAAATAGGGAGAGGTACCGACAAATGGATCACTCGAGCATTAATTAATTAATATTTACAAGTGACTCTGGGACCAATGTGCCTGAAATGTTAATCGTGTATTCCGATTCCCTTTATCGTTCACATATTTAATTAGGCGTCATCAAAAAAGGAGCAGTTGCTGACAATTTAACTACTTTCTTTCTTTATATAATATAATGGAATTAAATATATTTTTTACCGACTTCAAAAGAAGGAGGAGGTACTCAATTCGACTGTATTTCTTATGTGGGTTACCTCGGAACTTTTTCTTGGTGGACCGATGTTGATGATACTTTTTTTTTGCTTGAAAGATAGTGCTTCTCGTGTGGTCCCAATTAA